TCAGTTTGTCGACTGTGTTTTTTAAGTTCCGAATTTTTGAATTTTATACTTTTTCAATTTCTCAATTTCTCGATTTCTCGATCTTTAGATGTTTCAATTTTTGAATATTTCGATCTTTCTATTTTTTGCTTTCACGGTTATTCAATTCTTCGACTTTTTTCGGCTTTTCGATTTTTTAAATTGTTCGATGTTTTGAGTTTCTCAGTGTTTCGATTTCTCAGTTTTTCACCATTTGAGTTATGGCATTTTTCAATTTCTCGATTTTTCAGTTTTTTGATTTTTACAATTTTTTAAATATTGAACTTTCTATTTGTTTTTCGAAATTTTTCAATTTTTAGTTTGTTGACTATGTTTTTTAAGTTTCGAATTTTTGATTTTTAAAATTTTTCAATTTCTAATTTTTGACGTTTCCAGATTTTCAGGTTTTCGATTTCTTGATTTTTGATTTTCCCATTTCTCGACTGTTCAAATTTTCGACATTTTACTTTTCGATTTTTCAATTTTCCGATTTTTGGTGTTTCTATTTCTCGATTTTTCGGCTTTTCAATTTTTAAAATTGTTCGATGTTTTAAGTTTCTCAATTTCTCGATTTCTCAGTTTTTCGTCATTTCACTTTTGGCATTTTTCAGTTTTTCGATTTTTCAGTTTGTCTATTTTGTTTTTTAAGTTCCGAATTATTGATTTTTATAATTTTTCAGTTTCTCAATTTTTCAACTTTTCGACTTCACGGCCTTTCCATTTCTTGATTTCTCGATCTTTGATGTTTCAGTTTTTGAATATTTCGATCTTTCTATTTTTTGCTTTCACGGTTATTCCATTCTTCGACTTTTTTCGGCTTTTCGATTTTTTAAATTGTTCGATGTTTTGAGTTTCTCAATGTTTCGATTTCTCAGTTTTTCACCATTTGAGTTATGGAATTTTTCAATTTCTCGATTTTTCAGTTTTTTTATTTTTACGATTTTTTAAATATTGAAATTTCTATTTGTTTTTCGAAATTTTTCAATTTTTAGTTTGTCGACTTTGTTTTTTAAGTTTCGAATTTTTGATTTTTAAAATTTTTCAATTTCTAATTTTTGACGTTTCCAAATTTTCAGGTTTTCGATTTCTTAATTTTTGATTTTCCCATTTCTCGAATTCTCCACTTTCCAAATTTTCGATTTTTTGCTTTTTCGAATTTATAATTTTCCGATTTTTTTGGTGTTTGAATTTCTCAATTTTTCAGTATTTTAATTATCCAAACTTTTAAATTTTAGATTTTTAATTTTTTTGATGCTTCGATTTCTCGATCTTCCGGTTTTTTGACTACTCTGTTTTAGATTTTTCAATTTTTCGATTTTTAAAATTTTTGATTTTTCAGTTTGTCGACTGTGTTTTTTAAGCTCCGAATTTTTGAATTTTATACTTTTTCAATTTCTCAATTTCTCGATTTCTCGATCTTTAGATGTTTCAGTTTTTGAATATTTCGATCTTTCTATTTTTTGCTTTCACGGTTATTCAATTCTTCGACTTTTTTCGGCTTTTCGATTTTTTAAATTGTTCGATGTTTTGAGTTTCTCAATGTTTCGATTTCTCAGTTTTTCACCATTTGAGTTATGGAATTTTTCAATTTCTCGATTTTTCAGTTTTTTGATTTTTACGATTTTTTAAATTTTGAAATTTCTATTTGTTTTTCGAAATTTTTCAATTTTTAGTTTGTCGACTTTGTTTTTTAAGTTTCGAATTTTTGATTTTTAAAATTTTTCAATTTCTAATTTTTGACGTTTCCAAATTTTCAGGTTTTCGATTTCTTGATTTTTGATTTTCCCATTTCTCGACTGTTCAAATTTTCGACTTTTTACTTTTTCGATTTTTCAATTTTCCGATTTTTGGTGTTTCTATTTCTCGATTTTTCGGCTTTTCAATTTTTAAAATTGTTCGATGTTTTAAATTTTTCAATTTCTCGATTTCTCAGTTTTTCGTCATTTCACTTTTGGAATTTTTCAGTGTTTTGATTTTTCAGTTTGTCTACTTTGTTTTTTAAGTTCCGAATTTTTGATTTTTATAATTTTTCAGTTTCTCAATTTTTCGACTTTTCGACTTCACGGCCTTTCCATTTGTCGATTTCTCGATCTTTAGTTGTTTCAGTTTTTGAATATTTCGATCTTTCTATTTTTTGCTTTCACGGTTATTCAATCCTTGGACTTTTTTCGGCTTTTCGATTTTTTAAATTGTTCGATGTTTTGAGTTTCTCAATGTTTCGATTTCTCAGTTTTTCGCCATTTGAGTTATGGAATTTTTCAATTTCTCGATTTTTCAGTTTTTTGATTTTTACGATTTTTTAAAAATTGAAATTTCTATTTGTTTTTCGAAATTTTTCAATTTTTAGTTTGTCGACTTTGTTTTTTAAGTTTCGAATTTTTGATTTTTAAAATTTTTCAATTTCTCGTTTTTGACGTTTCCAAATTTTCAGGTTTTCGATTTCTTGATTTTTGATTTTTCCATTTCTCGACTGTTCAAATTTTCGAGATTTTACTTTTCGATTTTTCAATTTTCCGATTTTTGGTGTCTATTTCTCGATTTTTCGGCTTTTCAATTTTTAAAATTGTTCGATGTTTTAAGTTTCTCAATTTCTCGATTTCTCAGTTTTTCGTCATTTCACTTTTGGAATGATTCAGTTTTTCGATTTTTCAGTTTGTCTACTTTGTTTTTTAAGTTCCGAATTTTTGATTTTTATAATTTTTCAGTTTCTCAATTTTTCGACTTTTCGACTTCACGGCCTTTCCATTTCTCGATTTCTCGATCTTTGATGTTTCAGTTTTTGAATATTTCGATCTATCTATTTTTTGCTTTCACGGTTATTCAATTCTTCGACTTTTTTCGGCTTTTCGATTTTTTAAATTGTTCGATGTTTTGAGTTTCTCAGTGTTTCGATTTCTCAGTTTTTCGCCATTTGAGTTATGGAATTTTTCAATTTCTCGATTTTTCAGTTTTTTGATTCTTACGATTTTTTAAATATTGAAATTTCTATTTGTTTTTCGAAATTTTTCAATTTTTAGTTTGTCGACTTTGTTTTTTAAGTTCGAATTTTTGATTTTTAAAATTTTTCAATTTCTAATTTTTGACGTTTCCAAATTTTCAGGTTTTCGATTTCTTGATTTTTGATTTTCCCATTTCTCGACTGTTCAAATTTTCGACATTTTACTTTTCGATTTTTCAATTTTCCGATTTTTGGTGTTTCTATTTTTCGATTTTTCGGCTTTTCAATTTTTAAAATTGTTCGATGTTTTAAGTTTCTCAATTTCTCGATTTCTCAGTTTTTCGTCATTTCACTTTTGGAATTTTTCAGTTTTTCGATTTTTCAGTTTGTCTACTTTGTTTTTCAAGTTCCGAATTTTTGATTTTTATAATTTTTCAGTTTCTCAATTTTTCGACTTTTGGACTTCACGGCCTTTCCATTTCTCGAATTCTCGATCTTTAGATGTTTCAGTTTTTGAATATTTCGATCTTTCTATTTTTTGCTTTCACGGTTATTCAATTCTTCGACTTTTTCGGCTTTTCGATTTTTTAAATTGTTCGATGTTTTGAGTTTCTCAGTGTTTCGATTTCTCAGTTTTTCGCCATTTGAGTTATGGAATTTTACAATTTCTCGATTTTTCAGTTTTTTGATTTTTACGATTTTTTAAATGGAGAAATTTCTATTTGTTTTTCGAAATTTTTCAATTTTTAGTTTGTCGACTTTGTTTTTTAAGTTTCGAATTTTTGATTTTTAAAATTTTTCAATTTCTAATTTTTGACGTTTCCAAATTTTCAGGTTTTCGATTTCTTGATTTTTGATTTTTCCATTTCTCGAATTCTCGACTTTCCAAATTTTCGATTTTTTACTTTTTCGAATTTACAATTTTCCGATTTTTTTGGTGTTTGAATTTCTCAATTTTTCAGTATTTTAATTATCCAAACTTTTAAATTTTAGATTTTTAATTTTTTTGATGCTTCGATTTCTCGATCTTCTGGTTTTTTGATTACTCTGTTTTAGATTATTCAGTTTTTCGATTTTTAAAATTTTTGATTTTTCAGTTTGTCGACTGTGTTTTTTAAGTTCCGAATTTTTGAATTTTATACTTTTTCAATTTCTCAATTTCTCGATTTCTCGATCTTTAGATGTTTCAGTTTTTGAATACTTCGATCTTTCTATTTTTTGCTTTCACGGTTATTCAATTCTTCGACTTTTTTCGGCTTTTCGATTTTTTAAATTGTTCGATGTTTTGAGTTTCTCAGTGTTTCGATTTCTCAGTTTTTCGCCATTTGAGTTATGGAATTTTTCAATTTCTCGATTATTCAGATTTTTGATTTTTACGATTTTTTAAATATTGAAATTTCTATTTGTTTTTCGAAATTTTTCAATTTCTACTCTGTCGACTTTGTTTTTTAAGTTTCGAATTTTTGATTTTTAAAATTTTTCAATTTCTAATTTTTAACGTTTCCAAATTTTCAGGTTTTCGATTTCTTGATTTTTGATTTTTCCATTTCTCGACTGTTCAAATTTTCGACATTTTACTTTTTCGATTTTTCAATTTTCCGATTTTTGGTGTTCCCATTTCTCGATTTTTCACTTTTTATATCTTCATTTCTAAAATCTTTTTTCAAGTTTAGACACGTTGAAACTCGTCAAAAATTTTCACACACAATACATAAATGCATAAAAATCACATAAGGAAATGCGTGCAGTGTTGCAACACGTCGCCAAATTCCCATCACCATCCCGCAACAAAGCGGCCCATGACCATGGGCAAGCCCAGCCCCCACACAAAAAGCACACCGCATCATAAACTAACCGAATTTGACCCCAAAAGAAAGTAAAAGTAAATCAGCGCAACACCGTCACTGGAAAAATCAAATCAGGACGCGCAACAGGAACCCTCCTGACGCCAGTCTGACCCGAATCCGGCTGAGGGCGTCCAGAGTGTCGAAACGCCTCGACAAGAAGTGAATCACTGAAATAAAAAGAACGCAGCAGTGAAAACCCTGCCCATTACCAAACAAAGCACGCTCATTTAGCGTCCATAGGCGACTCGTTCCCACCCACGAGCCGCCACTGGGAAGGATTTCCCAAACACCCGGAATAAAACAATAACGTTCAAGCCGCAGTTTGTCTTCCTTTTTAACGCAAAGCCGAGAGGAAAGCGTCGAACGCTGTCTGTAGATTTGTGACGAGTTATGCGTGTGATCATCGTGGACATTTAATCGGTGTTAGTGCTCATTGAGTTACGGAGTTCACGGGTGAGTAAGTCTTTTCGAACACACTTGACCTGTTAAAGCTCGGTTTGTTTGGGTCGCGGTAGGTGAAGGACAGGGCTGAGGGCTTAAGGTCGGGAAGGGCGTTTTTTGCGTGGCGTGGTGGAGGTCGGTGAGGGATTTTTCAGGTTTTGTGCGAGTTATGTAACAGTTTTCGTTTGTCTTTGGTGTTAAAAATGGCCATCCTTGAGGTTTTACGTTTTTAAACAATCAAATTGGAGATTCATTGTTGACATTTGGAATATAAATGAGCTTAGTTGAGAGCGGATAGTTGTGAGGTTATTGGTTAATACAGACCGCGGTGTTCCGGTTCTTTAAAATTGAGGTAAATTCCCACAAATGCGGGTTTTCTAAAATAAATCGTGTTGATACTCGTTAGATTTTAGTGTTTTTCGTTTTATTCTTGTTTTTTGTTTTTCGAAACTAACATCAACCGAAAAAATGGAGCTTAACTTAAAAAAAATACTTTTGATAATTTCACTAACAGTGAAGATTTTTAATCAGAGTATCTGAAATTTAAAAATATTTATATACAAAACAATTAAATTTATAATTATGTCTCGAAACTCGAAATAAACGTGACTTTAAATTCTGATTTGAAACTGGTTTATAACCAGTTTAAAAAGTTTTCGTTTTGTAACGTGTACCAATCTGTGTTAATTCATGGATAAGATATAAATTCTACGAGATTCTGAAGTTTTCGAAAATTTAAAGTTGTCAGTTGAGTGGAATTTTCAAAATTTTAAAATAGAATTTGCTACAACATCGTCAAAAACTTTTTTTTTTTGACAATTCTGAAACAACAAAATTCGGAGATTTCTGGATTTTTATTTCAGAGACCTTGTTTATAAGTTTGTATTTTTGTTTTCTTTTTTTTGGATAAAAGTTCAGATATTTTAGTTTTATTACCATACAGTTTTCAAAGAACCTATATGTTTTTTTCTTCATAAATGCAATAGGTATACGTAATTTCACAAGTCCGAAATGAGTTCAATTTGTGCACTTTTGAAACTTTGTAATTAATGCTTTTTCGAAATTTAACTATTTTCATCTGAACTATGATTTTCACTTTTTCATTTGTCAATTTTTCGGTTTCACTTTTTCAATTTGTAATGTATCTAGTTTTCAATGTTTTGAAATTTTGAATTTTTAAATCTCTTTAATTTTCGATTTGTCAATTTCTCGTTTATTGAATTTTTCGATTAAATTTTTTGTTTTTCTAGTTTTCCGAATTTTCAATTTTTCAATTTTTCAGTTTGTCGATTTTTAATTTTTCTATTTACTAATTTTCGAATTTTTCAATTTTAGATTTTTCAAATTTTCGATTATCCATTTTTTCAGTTTGTAATATTTCCTGTTTTGAATTATCTACTTGATTTTTGCACTTTTGCGATGTTTCAGTTTGTTGATTTTGCAGTTTTTCGATTTTCTCTTCAATTTTTGAATTTTTCGTTTCTTGAATTAAATTTTCATTTTTCAAGTTTTCCGAATTTTCGATTTTTCAGTTTGTCGATTTTGTAGTTTCTTTATTTTTAATTTTCGATTTTTCATTTTTTCAGTTCTTCAAATTTTCGATTTTTCTATTTACCAATGTTTGAATTTTAAATTCAATTTTCCGTTCGCAATGTTTCGTGTTTTTAATTTTGAATTATTGAACTCTTAGATTTTTGCACTTATTCGATTTGTCAATTTGTTGATTTTGCAGTTTTTAGATTTTCTAATTTTTGGATTTCAAATTTTTTGTTAATTTTCGACGTTGCCATTTTTCAGTCTGCAATGTTTTCAATTTTGAATTTTTGATGTTTTTAATTTCTCATCTCTTCAATTTTTCGATTTTTCAATTTTTGGTTTCTCGAATTGTTCAGTAATTGTAGTTTCTCGATTTTTAATTTTAGATTTTTCAATTTTCAACATGTCCAATTTCTCAATTTTTAGTTTTTCCATTTACCAATTTTTGAATTTAAATGTATTCAATTTTTGAATTTTTTGTTTCTTCAATCTGTGATTTTTCGATTTTTTTAATTTTAGATTTTTAAAATTTTCGACATTACCATTATTTCAATTTGCAATGTTTCGTATTTTTAGTTTTTAATTTTTGAAATTTGGGTTTTTCATCTTTTCAATTTTCAGAGTTTTCAATTTTTCGTTTCTTGAAATTTTTAAGTTTTTAATATAAATTTTCAACTTTTGAATTTTTCAGTTCAATTTGTTTACTCAATTTTTCAATTTCTCAGTTTTTTGATTTTTGGTTTGTCGATTTATATTTGTTGATTTTACAATTTTTTGAATTTTAAGTTTATCAACTTATGAATTTTTAATTCAATTGTTCGACTTGCAAGTTTTCAATTTAAATTTTTGAATATTTTAATTAAATTTTTATTCTTCAGTTTTTAAACTGAACTCAATTTTTCGGTTTTTTAAATTTCTCATTTTTTTTTAATTTGCAACAATGTGTCTAGTTTTGAATTTTTACCTTTTAAACTTTTCATCTCTTCAAGTTTTCAATTTTTCAGTTTAACGTTTTTTAAATTTTACAATGAAATGTTTTGTTTTTCCATTTATTTTAATTTTCAGTTTGTTGATCTTAGTTTCTCCATTTTTAATTTTTCGGGTTTTCAATTTTCCACATGTCTAATTTTTCAATTTTTCCTTTTTAGATTTTACCATTTTTGAATTTTAAATGTTTCATTTCAATTTTTCGTTTTTTCATTCCCTCAATTTTTAGATTTTTCAAATTTTCGACATTACAATTTTTTCAATTTGCAATTTTTCGTGTTTTTAACTCTAAATTATTGAACTCCTGGATTTTTCATCTCTTCAATATTTGCATTTTTCGTTTTTTCCTTTCTTGAATTTTTCATTTTTAAAATATTTTGCTTTTTCAACTTTTCGATTTTAAAATTCTCTATTTGCAATTTTTCAAGTTTTCAATTTAAATACGCAAATTTTTAATTTTTAAATTCATTTTGTTACTCAGTTTTTCGATTTTTCAATTTTTCGATTTGTTGGTTTGTCGATTTGGAAGTTACTCGATTTTTTTAATGTTAAACTTATCAACTTACGACTTTTCAATCCAATTTTTGACGTCTTCAGTTTTTCAGTTTATCGTCTTTTTATTGTTTTCTAGTTTTTTGAATTTTCAATTTTTTAATTTTTTAGTTTGTCGATTCCGTAGTTTCTCGAACTTTAATTTTTCGATTTTTCAATTCTTCATACGTCCAATTTTTTAATTTTTACTTTCCTTATTTTACAGTTTTTGAGCTTTTCAAATCAATTTTTTGTTTCTTTAATTTTTAACTTTTCAGTTTTTTGTTGCTACAATTTTTGGAATTTTAGTTTTTAGATTTTTAAAATTTTTGAGATTACAATTTTGTGGGTTTACAATGTTTCCTGTTTTTAGTTTTAATTAATTTTTTGAACTTTTGGGTTTTTCATCTCTTCAATTTTTCGATTTTTCAATGTTTGTTTCTTGAATTTTTCGTTTTAAAATTTTTCGTTTTCCAACTTTTTGAGTTTTCAATTTCTCGATTTGCAGTTTTTCGAATTTTTAATTTAAAGATCTTGTCAATTTTTCAATTCGATTTTTTGTTCGATTAGTTTCTCGATTTTGCAATTTCCCGGTTTTTAAATTTTTGATTTTACAATTTTTAATTTTAAATATATATCAACTTACGAATTTTTCACTTCAATATTTCATCTCTCCTATTGTTCGATTTTTCGTATTTCAAATTTTTGGTTTTTATTCAGCTTTTCGATATTAACAATTTTTCCATTCGCAATTTTTCCAGTTTTGAATTTAAATTTTGAACTTTTGAATTTTTCAAGTCAATTTTTCGTTTCTACAAGTTTTGGATTTAGATTTTTAAAAAATTTCGACATTTCCATTTCTTCAATTTGCAATGTTTCGAGTTTTAGGTTTAGAATTTTTGACCTTTTGAATTTTTGCATCTCTTATTGAAATTTTCGATTTTTCTATTTTCTGTTTCTTGAATTTTTCGTTTTTAAAATGTTTCGTTTTTTCAGACTATCGATACAATTTTTCGAGTTTTCAATTTAAATTTTCAACTTCGGAATTTTTCAATTTAATTTTTTGTCCATTCCATTTTTCGATTTTTCGGATTCTCGATTTTGTAGTTTTTTGATTTTATAATTTTTGAATTTTAAGTAATTAATCTTTTTGAATATTTCAATTCAATTTTTAATCTCTTTAATTTTTCAATTTATCGTTTCCAAAATCTTTCAAGTCAATTTTTGCTAGTGTTTCGAATTTGCAATTTTTCGATTGTTCTTTTTGTCGATTTTTTCTCAATTTTCAATTTTTGAATATTAAATTTTTAAACTTTTGAATTCTGCAATTCAATTTTTCGTTTCTTCAATTTTTGACTTTCCACCTTTACGTTCCTTCAATTTTTGGATTTTTAATTTTTAGATTTTTCAAATTTTCGACAATACAAAGTTACAATATGTCGTCTTTTTAACGGTGAATTTTTGAACTTTTGGATGTTTTAGCTCTTCAATTTTTCCGTTCTTGAATTATTCGTTTTTGAATTTTTTCGGTCAATTTTTCGAGTTTTCATTTTAAATTTTCAACATTTATTCAGTTTTTCGATTTTTCGATTTTTTTGGTTTTTCGATTTAGTTTCCCGATTTTTAATTTTTTGATTTTTCTGTTTCTGAATTTTTAAATTTCAAATTTATCAACTTGTGAATTTTTCAATTCAATATTTCGTGTCTTCAATTTATGATTTTTCAGTTTTTAGATTTTGCAAATTTCCCAGATTACAATATTTTCGATTACAAGATTATGTATTTTTAATTTTTCAACTTTTGGGTTTTTCATCCGTTCATTTTTTGCAATTGTTCAATTTTTCATTTCTTGAATTCGTCTTTTTTACAATTTTTCTATTTGCAATTTTTTCATTTTTCAATTAAAATTTTCCAACTTTTGAATTTTTCAAATCAATTTTTCTATTTTTCAGTTTGTA